GTTCAGGACAAACCGTCGAGTAGTTTGGAAGATCTTCCTCTGGACCTTGAAGCAAACAAGAAAAGCAGTGGATCTCTGAGTCAGCGTGTTCAGGATAAACTGTCAAGTAATTTAGAAGATGAAACATTTGAAAAAATGCCAGACTCAAAAAGTTGGTCATTAGAAAAGAATATTTTAACTTCAAAGAAGCATTTAAGTGAAATAAGTAAAGGCATGTCTATAGATTCACTCTCAGAAGGTAGGTCAGGAAGCTCTCTAGGTACAGAAAGGGAACAGGGCTCTGCAAAAGACTTAGAGGAATATGTTATAAAGCAAATATTCACAGCTAAGACCTCAGAGGTGGATACATATGTGAAATCGCTTAGTGAAACAAAGCTCAACGTGCAGGATCAGTTACCCACTGCTTCAGCGAGCAGCTTCCCTTCACAGACTGGGGCTCCCTGGGACAAAAAAGATGATGCAGAAGAATTGTCACTGTCCACATCTGCTGTAAAGCAGGCCATGCAAGCATTTTCTAAAGATACTCTTTCAGAACATGGGCAAGTAAACATGATCGAATTAGATAAAGAACACCAAGGGAGTTCTTTGGTGGACTCAGAGAAAGGCTCTCCTGCAGAAAAGCAAAAGAGCCCCACAGAGGAGCTTTCAAAAAGCAAAATTAAACTCAAATCGCCTTCAGATGACAGTGTGCCCACCATTCCCAAAAGAAGCAGCCATGAACTCAAGGTGGCTGCATTTACAGAGGAAGGTCAAAATACAGCCCCCCGAGATTCAGACGATCACCCTTCAATACCACACACAGAAACAACTTTCCCAAGGGATGACCAGAAGTCTTATCAAGAAGACCCGGATCTTAATACTATTTTGGAAAACTTAAGCAACTCGTTAATGAGTATAATCAATGGATCAGATCCCAAAATATTAAATTCCCTTTTGAAACACATCTTAAGTGCATTTTACAAATTCAGTCAGTCCGCAAGAAGGCCACCAGAAAGAGAAGTCCAACAGCGACACGATCGCTCTTTTACACCTGATGTAGAAGACCATGAAGAAATCCAGAAGGATTTCGACAAAGCTGACAGTTTAGACCAAAAACCTATGCTGAACCCAAAGCTGGGCATCTTTCTAGAAGAACTCTCAAAGGCAGAGATAAAAAAATTGAAATCCGAATTAAGTAAGCATATCCAGCACTACCTTGTAGAAAGACTCTCCAAATCAGGACACATCACCGAGGAGGATTTGCCAAAAGTCTACCAAAATCTGTATGTGATGAATGAGTCAAGTGGGCAAAAAGTTTTCCAGGAGAAATATTCAGAAACAGCAAAAGAAATCATGAGTTTTGTAAATAATTTTCATCATCATTTCATAGATAAACATCTGGAAATAAAGCTAAGGTCTTTTTTAAGTGAAATCCTCAAAAACTATTTCCTCGAGAACCTTTCTGGAAGCAAGTTATTTAAAGAGACAGAGCCTGCGACTATACTCTCAACCACACCTCTTAGAGCTGAAAGTGCCTCAGTATCTGTACATGACTCAGATCAAGATGTTTCAAGGGAGAGTTCTGAGAGCTGGTTTGACATAAACACAGTATATCCTCTAAATAAATCTCTACAGAGTTCTCTCATGGCTTTATCAGAAAACAAACTATTAAATCTAAAAACAGATTTAAGTAAATGCATCCAGACCCTTTTTATAGAAAAACTTTCGAAATCTGGACTGCTCACAAAGAGACAATTAGAGGGCATCAACCAGCATATACATTTGAATAACCCCAGTTCCACACCCTTAAAATGTATGAAGACAGATTTGAGTTTTAGAGATGAAAATAAGTTTGTGGAGGAGCATTCAGAGAAGCAAAGTAAATATTCAAAAATTGCTCAAAAGGCCACTTTACAAAAGATTCCTGAGGCTAGATGGGTAGGAACCGAATTGATCAGAAAGGAAGAAAAAGGTTTTCCTTTGCACAGTATTAAAGAAAATCTACCCATTCTTACAGACCAGAAGAGCTATTACTCTAAAGAAGGCAGTCATACACCAAGTTTAATGAAAGTACAGCCCGGCACCAGCAAAAATATCCAAGCAGTCTCCATGAGTAAACCTTCAGACAGACCCATGAGTATGATGTTCACGAATCCAAGGAATGAATATGGCTTCCTCCAGCTTCCGCCAGCAGAAAATGCTGTTTTAAAAGCAGAGAGTCAAGACCCATATGGTGGGGATGGCAAAATAATTCAATCAAATGCTTGCTTTGAAAGGACACTGAGGATGAAGTCCAGTGGGAAAAAAGAGCATATTAGCATCTATAAACTGACCGTGCAGGGGCGACCTGACGCAAGACTGTCACCGTATCCCAGAGTTCTGGACTATAAAATGTCAGATGAAGAGGAGGAGGCTGCGAGGCGACCGGTGTTTCCCTCATGCCAGGGCCATCCTTCAAATCACTTCAGCACGGAGGTCGGGGGCGCCTCCAAGTTAGACAGCCAAAGATGGAAAGGAAATAATAATAACAATAAGAAACAGAGTTCAGTAACATTTGCAGAATACCAACAAATACAAACTCCATATAAAAAAACATCTGTGCTCAGCACCGAAAGCTATGCAGAGGTCCCCGAATCACAACCCTTTAGATGTGAAGTGTTAGAAGTTGAAACATGCTCAAAACCACCTCTATTCCCAGAACTATTAAAGAGGGAAAGCTTAAAGCCCAAGCTCCAAAGAGAGAGAGATCATTTTGGCAAACAAAGAAAGACATACAGCAAGGTAGTTAAGATCTTACCAACCACAGTGCCCTCATCAAGAACTCATCTGAAGAAATCTATCCCCAGATCATTGCTTCATTGGACGGCAAGAACAACTATACATGTAATAGTGTTTTTCTAAGTTGATTTCTGTATTTGGCAGAGTTCTATAAACATTTTAGGGTATATATGCTTGCATGCAAATGAGTGTTTAGCTTTGATTGCCCCAAGACATAAATACCTCCAAATTTAATTTTAAAGCATCCTACTGAGCTTCAAATATTTTAACTAAAGGAAATGCAATTACAAAAGAGGTGGACTGTTCACACACCTGGTCTCTTTGTATGAATTAGATCCAGGGCATGCCTGCTGGAGCATGGGGTAGAAAAAAGCACCCCTTTCTCTGGGCAGACTTTCCAGCCTGGCATAGCCAGCAGCCAGGACACTATCTCTGCCAGTGGGAAACTGGCTGGACTTCAGCTGTGACTCGCCCCGCAGGCAGGGCTGTGTGCAGGCACAGCCTGGGCAACCACTGGCAGTGCCACAGAGCTGGGGTTTTCTTTTCATGTAGATACAAATCCACTGCTTTAGAGTAGATTCTGCTTCTGAAGCTATAAAACTTTACAGAAACGGATAACCTCAACTTTATCCCATGAAGCAGTTCATGGGTTTGAACTGGTGACTTCCAAGTTAGTTAGCAGTCCAATGCTTTCCCAACAGAGTTCCTCTTAATATAGATATATAGGTATAAGTATATAGTCTTTTTCCCTAGTTGAATTAGCTTTGTTTCAGTAAAGAGATACAAAGGTCTTACTCTATGTCAGTTATTTTATAAGGGTCAAGGATATTCAAATTCTATTACCTACTGGATTATGAGTTGCAACATTTTTATTTAACTTATACTCTTTAATTACATCCTTCTGCTACATCATATGCTGTGAGCAATGTAAGAACTCACGTCCATTTTCAATACCAACGTACATACACAAATAGAAAGGTACAGTTGCTATTAGACTTTATACAAACCATCTTAAAGGGAAGTTAAAATGTAGAACTGAATAAAACAACAACAACAACAACAACAAAAATATATAGAACTACAAGAGGCATATTTCCCAAATCTCTGCTCCTTGCTAGTTTGGATAAACATAACCCACAGCTGGGAAAATGTCTCCGTTCAAAAACTGATATTAAACCAATCATTTGATATGTACAATTTTGCCTCTGAATGGGGGGAAAAATGACAAATTTCAGAATAGTAGCTTTGCATTTGTTTTACTCAGTAAAGCAAATGATTAGCTCCAAAGTGTCAAGGTAAATATTATCAGGATAGCTTGTACCCTGACACTGAAATTTTCCCTTCCTATAAATAATTTACTATTGCTGTGTATATGTGTGTGCACACGCACACACTGGGAAAAGAAAGTCATAGGTTCATCATTCTTGTAGAACAAAGACTTTCCGAAGTTCCTTTAGACAAGTGGAATCTATATATCACTTTTTAAAATGGGAAAAAAAACAAGAAATTGTATTTATGTTTAATGGTATGAGATCATATAGGATCTCAGAACAACTATTTTGTTGCTGAATACTGAGAACTGCCCTTACACTAAGAGTAATCAAGGGAGAGTTCTCTTTATATCCCTCTGTTAATCCAGGTATACCTGAACTTTTCTCTCTAGTGTAGAGAGAAAACAGGAAATGAGTGGGAAGAGAAATTTTTTTCAGGTAATCAGAAAGGCTCACTTCTCAGGTTTTCTCAAGTCCAGGCATCTCCCAACGGAGTCCGACAGAAGGCAGAGGCATTGAGTAGAAGGAGCAATATTGAAGATAATGCCCAGTGTAGTGAGTTTTCATACCTCCCTCCACAATGCTAACGCAACAAGGTACATTGCTCAAGAATACAGTACACAGCCTCTGAAAAGCTTGGCACACCTCATTATCCCATGTACATTAGAGAGAAGAGGAAGTCTCTTTCCTTGCCCTCTCCCAAAATGTCAAATAGGACTTGTCTTCAGACTCTTGCACTTCTTTTTCCTAACACTTATCTTTCTGGTACCCTAATCCTGCCAACGCCTCCCATCCCATAACCTGTTATGCCACTGGCGCCCCTCTACACATCGAAGGAGCCCCATTACTCTGTGGGGCAATCTCGGCAAGGTATTGAGGCAACTGCTCAACCTGCTGGCTAAACTAGTCTACATGCATATGAGGATGGTTGATAGCTCCATACACTTTTAGGTGTGTGTGTAGGTTATATTTTTATTATAAAATGTAGCCATCATAAATAAAATTTGAGGGGTGGAGAAGAGAAATAGAAGATTCTAATCTATCCACTCTAACACAACCATCCTGTTTTTCTTTATTTTTGTATATCTCTTTTCAATAGTCTCAAGAATGGACTTCACTTGTTTATTCTCAGATTCCACATAAAATATTGACTATTCTTAGTGTGAACATCACCACCACATATTTGTATCACATATTTGAACTGATTGACATCAGTCTTCACAATTATTATTTTATATATTTATATAATGGCATCAAATTAGGTACACAAATGTCTCTGTTAGTAGACATTTATAAGTGACACTTCAAAGTAACAACCTAACACAATGTTTCCACCATAGTTTGAGTTATTTCTAGAAGTAGTGGAGTTCCTGGACCCAAAGAGATTTATAGATATAGATATATAAACAAACTAACTAACTCATTTCCATCAAGTTGATCATAGCTCATACTGACCCAATAGAACAGGGTAGAACTACCCCTGGAGGTTTCTAAGACTATAAATCTTTACAGGTGTAGAAAGTCTCATTTTTCTCTCTCAGAGAAGCTGGTGGTTTTGAACTACTGACTTTATAGTTAGCAGCCCAACACATAACCAATATGTCACCAGTATTCTGAGATAGGTAGGTTGGTAGGTAGGTATGTAGGTAGATAATGCTACATAAATATAGTGTGAAGAATATATTAAAGTTTGGATGATATAAAAAGTCAGTTTAGGGATCATACATAATTCATATTTGGGACTGGGAGAGAGTATTTGGTGCAGAAGAAATAGAGTGGTCTGATGAGCTTTGTCTAAGTCTGAATTCTGGTTTTGAGCTTCATAGTTCATCTATTTTGAGACAACTTGTCCTTTGAAACAATAAGTTTCTTAAAAGCACAATTTCTAAGGAGCTCGCGGGACTGCCTGTACACTGTTTGCTGAGGTTATCCCTTATCTTCTGTATTGGTATTACAAATGATAGTCTTTTTAAATTTCAAAATATACTTTCAAGCAATTTAATTTACCAATCTGATCTTTTATTTTAACACTTAGGATTGTTCGGATAAATTTGATGATTTACCTCCTGCAGCCTCATTTAGGCATCTGGAAAGAACAAAATCAAGGATGAGGCTTTTAGGAAAGTATTCAGGCAACAACCCCAATCCTCCCAGGCATGCCACCAGGCCAAACACTGCCCCGGAGGCCAACAAGCGACAACGGGAAGGCCACACCGGGAAACTGAGAACTCCGCGACTGGTTTCCGCCAGCTTAGCTCATCTTAACGATACAATCTCACAATATGAAATGCATAAAATGCAGCCAAAAAAACAATTAAAAGAGGCTATTGAAAATTGTCCGCTCATTTGTGATATTATCCAAGTGTTAAACACTTCAGAATGATATGTGAGGGCAACAATCACTAAGAGTATCATTTCTCCTATGAACGAAATGGTTTGAGGAGCTGTCCTTTTGTGTTGCAGAAGTCAGCAGCCAAATTTCATCTTGTTAGAACCATTTTGTTTCGATTAAAGTGAAAAATAAACACCATTGATGTAAATGTGTTTTTGTTTATGACACTTTAGGGAGCCAACTCAGAAATAACATTCTGTGCACACTCATTAGGAAAGATTTGGTGCCTTGCTGCCCCTCTCTCCACCCCACATCATAGCGGCTCGAATTTTTTTAAACCCCTGTGATGAAAACATAATTGAAATGGTCTTGATCTACCCAGTTTTCAATTTGTAGCAGTGCTTAGGCTATGAATATCCTTTAACACTTTAGCTCTTGCTATATTTCTAGATGCCTTAGCAATCTTCACTTGTTTGGACCAATAAAGCTTCCATGAATTTTAATGTCATCTGATATTGCAACTTTTGCACTATTAGTAAAGAAAACAAAAAGTATCTAGCTCCTGAGGCATCTCTCACACTGGATTGGCTTTGCTAACTCCCTCCGAAAGCTGTGAAGGGGCCTCTGGGTTGAAAGCAAACTCAAGAAACTGCAGCGAAGTTTAGAAACTGCATCAAATGTACTTAGCTATATCAACATAGAATTTAAATCAGATTTCCAAGAATCAGTTCTATTTTGTATCAAATACCTATCTGAGTCCTGTTGAGCTTTGCTCTGCTCTTGAGAAGCAAAAACTCTCATTGTGCAGAACTTTTCTCAGGCTTTCTTTCTCTACTATCAATCGGAAAGGTGATGGGATTTATATAGAGTTGGCTGATGGAAAACATAATTGCTGATATTCCACTCAATGGGATAATCAGGGTATCATGGGTTAAAAAAAACCCATTTTAAATAGGGATCAAGATTTCCAGTTGTTTTCAGAGTTGTCAGTACTTTTATCAAAGTCTAACTAGGAAAAAATGACTCCTGATCTTTCACATGGAAGGAATACAGTGACTTGTCTTCACTGGTGGCAAAGTGGGTTACACATTGAGCTACTAGCCACAAGGTCAGTAGTTCTAAGCCACCAGCCACTCTGCTGGGGTAAGATGAGGCTATCTACTCAAGTAAAACTTGAAAACCCACAGGGGCAGTTCTACTTTGTCCTGCAGGGTCTCTATGAGATGAAACATGACCTAGAAGCCCCCAAAGAATGCTGAGGCACCCCAGAGATGAAACTAGGAAATGCTGCCACCTGTATAATGGAGGGGACAGTAGAGGGAAAGCAATGTTACCAGTCCTGAAGCCATAAGACAGAGAAGACACAGTGACTACCAGAGACAGAAGGTTAGCAGGGGATGAAAGATATTTTTGCTTTCCTCCTGCTCTATCATTTTAAACCGATGCCCCCTGTCAGCCAAACCCATCTGGCAGCCAGGAAGCGGTGGTGTGGTAGGTGACTTGTTTTCCCTTCGTTCTTAATAAGTTGAGTCCTGCTCCATCCTCTTCTCCCATTCTGTCTGAACTGGCTACCCTGACCCCGGTGGCACAGTCGGTCATTCACCACTGCCAACAGGGCCACATCTAATCTCCTGGTCTCAGGGGAGAGGAGGTGGTGACTCATGTGGACTTGTTTCTGTCCTGCTCTTTGGGTTACCTTCTTACTGTATTGCTCTGGGTGAATAGAGACCAGTAGTCGTTAGCCACTTGTAAGCTTTTAAGATCCTAGAACCCAGAGTCTAGATGGTACCCACTTGGCTAGAAGGCAGATCATGATTTTTCCTCATTAATTTTTTTAATGTCAATATTGTGAAACACAAGAGTTAGCATTTTTCTATCATGGCTATTTCTCATATTTTCAAATTTATTTCCCACTCTCTCTCCCTTATATACTTAATTTAAGGCGCATTTCCTTAAATACTTATTAAACAGCTACAATATGCCAGATACTTTGCTAAGCATTAAGAATGCTTGTAAACATGCTAGTTTACAAAGGAGTCCACAGCCTATTGGGATAAAAACACAGAGGTGATTATAACGGAGTTGAAAGTGCAAGCGTTAGGATGGGGAGATGATTATCGAAGCTCATAGAAGGGCACTTCAGCTAAGGCTACTGTGTTATTTCCAGCCCTTTGAAAAGTGGACAGGAAGAGAGGATTAGAGATGTGCTAGACAGAACAACAGCCCCTCCAAATGACTATGTTCTAATCCCAGAAACGTGCGTATGTTACCTACAAAGAAACTCTGCAGCTGTGATTAAGGATCTTGAGATGAGTTAATATCATTTATGATAATATAAAATGTGAAATACTTAGGGATAAACTATAAAATGTTGCTGAGACACATTGAAGATCTAATAAGCAGCATTTGTCCTTTTGTGATCAACTTATCTCAGATGGAAGTTTTGTACAATGTCAACAATCTTCCTTGAATTGGACTACATCATTCCAATAAAAATGCCTGTTGTTTTTTTTCACAGAAATTGATGAGCAGATGCTAAAGTTTATATAAGAATGAAAAGACTCTAGAATAGGCTAAATAATTTGGTGGGGGAGGAGAACAAAGCTGGAGAATTTTCGCCATCTGATGTTAAGACTTAAGTATACAGGTATCTTTGTACATTGATCAATAGATGAATTGAACAAAAGTTCAGATTAGAACTACATGTATCGAATCACTTAATGTTTTCTGAAAGAAGCCTGGGCAATCCGATGGAGAAAGGATCATCTTTTCAGTTTATGACTATCCATGTTTTCTATCTCAAAATTAATTTGAAATGGATGATAGGCCTAAGACTAGAAAGCTTCTGGTTAAAAATAAAAATGAGTGACCTTGAGTTATGCGAAGGTTTCTTAAGGCACCAAAAAGAAGGAACTGAAAGAAAAAATGGACCCACTAGACTAGACTGGACCAGGGGTTCTCAACCTTCCCAATGCCGTAACCCTTTAAGGCAGTCCCTCATGTCGTGCTGACCCCAACCATAAAACTATATTTGTTGCTACTTCATATGAATCATAATGTAAATATCTGATATGCAAGATGTATTTTCATTGTTACAAATTGAACATAATTAAAGCATAGTGATTCATCACAAAAACAATATGTAATTATAATTCATGAAGTGTTGTTTTACCTCCAATACTGCTGCTTTCAACACAGTAGCTGCTTTTAACAGAGTAGCTGCTTTCAGTACAGCAGCTGCTCTCTACACTATCATGATCCCAATTCTACCTTGCAAGTCTGGCTAGACCAGAGGATGTACACTGGTACAGATAGGAATTGGAAACACAGGGAATCCAGGGCAGATGATCCCTTCAGGACCAGTGGTGTGAGTGGCAATACTGGGAGTGCAGAGGGAGAGTGGGTTGGAAAGGGGGAACTGATCCAAAAGGATCTATATGTGACCTCCTCCCTGGGGACGGACAACAGAAAAGTGGGTGAAGGGAGACATCGGACAGTGCAATATATGACAAAATAATTTGTAAATTATCAAGGGTTCATAAGGGAGAAGGGAGTAGCGAGGGAGGGGAAAAAAATGAGGAGCTGATGCCAGGGGCTTGGGTGGAGAGCGGATGTTTCCTAACTGGGGAGCCACAGAGCCCTGGAGAGCAGTTTGCTCCTTTTTCGTCCACTTTGCATTCTCTCCACCCTGCTAGGTCCTCCAAGATACTGACTTTGCGTCTGGTGGACTTGGCCTTCCGTAAGCACCAACAAAAGGAAGAAGGAGGAGTGGGGTTTATTTATTTCTTGGTTCCCTCTCTGCTGGTTTGGCTTGATCTCCCTGAAAGGCCACCACTCTCACCACGAAGCCCACTGCATCAGCCATTCTCAGTCATTCCTTGAAGTACTCTTTCCCTGTCCCTTTAGACCCAAAGATGGTTTTTCCCTCTCTGGTCTGCCCCCAAGGCATTAAATACCAAGTTGTTTTAAATTGGCTAGTCTGAATGCACCATCTATTTCCTATTCGGTCTCTGGCTAATTTATTTACTGGTGTATAAACATATACAAGTCTCTCCATGAAACAGAGCCTCCAAATGGTATTGGAAACTGGCCTGCTTACATATCTGCTGGACCTCTATACAACAAACTATGAAAAAAAATTTTTGAGGCAGATTTTACTATTTTATTTGTTACTCTTACTACTATGTTTGGAATCTTTTACAGCAGGATTATAGAGGCGGGAGAAGGGGAGGTTTTCTGAAAATTCTCCGGAAGCTTCATTTATCTTTTCACTTCCATTTCTCCTAAAACATTTTGAAGCCCCTTTGTACTGATTATATTTCTTTTATAATCTTAAATCATTTCTCTCTCTAGTATCTTGCGTGCAAGGTGAACGTTTACACAGTAGATTCGGTTTCTGAGAATCATTTCTCTGCAGACATCAGGGGCATCCTTTATAAGGTGCCATCACGCCCATCCATTCCATGCTGGCTAATAGTCTATAAGGAACTAAAAATATTGTGATGACTTAGATGCCCACCAGTTAGAACCAGCAGGTGGAACAAACTTCAGGTGCTGCGAGCCAGCTGATCAGCTGGCTGAACTCTGAGCTTCTCTGATGCCTGTGAATGCTCAGATTGCGAGATAAAATGTTAGGTTCAAGCTCCCGGCCAGGAAGGGGTGGTACACCTAGGTGGGTATTACACCTGGACTGACTCATCTAAGTCAGGTGAATTTGATTAAGCCGATGGGGTCCACCAGTATCTTCGACCACGCCTTCCAACGGAGGGCCCTGAAAAGCCAGAAGTTCTGCTCTCTGGCTCTCTTTCCCAGCAGCTGCTACAGAATGCAGCACGACTGGGCGCCAACCACGCCACGGACTCTGGCTTGTGTTCCATTTACTGTAAAACCTGAATCGGCTACCTCAGAAGCAACAAAGCCCACATGGAAGAAGCACACTAGCCTGTGTGATCACAAGGTGTCAATGGGATCAGGCATCAGGCATCAAAGAACAAAAAAT